ATTTTCCTTCCAAATACAGAGTCTTTTCTCTGTAACATCTATACCACTAGGTCTGACTGCAGGTTAGTTCTCCTGGCTCTGTGTTCTGCTCTTCTTGGAAAGCACCAGGTCCACAATGATCAGTGGGGGCTTGGCCAAAGGCAAAATGTCACCAGCTTGGACTGAGGGGTGGCTCACACAGGGTGCTGCCAACTCCAGCAAGGTCTGGGCTCATAAAGCCCCACTGAACATAATGGGAAGTGACAGCACTCAGCATCTCTCAGCAGGCAAGCAGCATCCCACAGGAACAGAAGTCTGCTATTCACACAAACAAAACTTGTTTTGTACAGAAAGCCTACACCAAAAAATCAATTTGTAGTCTGAAAATTTGCAATTATAATTAGCAGTGCTGTTATTAATGCAATATCCTGAGGGGGTGGTGGATTTTGAGTCAGTTACTGAGATGACAGAAGCAAGCTAAGTGCTTGATAAAGCATCCCAGGAAGAAATTTCCTGAAATACTTAGAATCTGAGTTTTACAAAAACTGGCATGTGCAGCATTGCTGAAGTCAAGATAAGGAACAAGATATTCTGCCTGGTACTGTATCTCTTCTGTACAATGACAGCAAGTGCTGCTCTCAAACATGTGGGCAAAATAGTCTCTTGTTCCACCTGTTCAGACCCTGCCTGCAATCGCATTAATTCAGGGTCAGTTACCTCTTCAGAGCTGGCAGCAGAACACAGTAATTTAAACCCCCCCTCTGGTGCCTAAAGAAAATACCAAACACAGCTGAGAATTCAAATTTTCTTCATATCTGGAAAAGCAGGAAACCAGTTTTCACGTGTTCCCGTGCAAGCATCTGGTTTTCACTTGTAGCAGTCAACTGCGCTTACAAAAGCTCCAGTTCACCATGTCTGCTAGAAATATTGAAGGCTAAATTGTCATCTTATTATCTCAATTTAACACATTGTCACTGGGCACAGGCAAGGGACTACAGCAGATCCCAGTGGAAGCTTTTCCTATCACTAGCAATTCTAGACATTAACAGAAATGCTAAAATTGCCACTTACATTTTGCTATAATTTAAACCATCCAAATTGCTTCTGCTCTGTTCAGTATTACACTAAAGCAATCCCAGTGATGCCAGGAAGCAATGAAAGAGCTGTCTTCAGTTATTTCCTTCCAAATGCTTTTAAATGGGGAGGGTAACCATGACCAGAAGAGTTGAGAAGTGAACACTCTGAGCTACATTTTTCCTGTTTGCTGATATTTTGATGCTACTTTCATGCATTACAGGGCTCTTCCACATATCTAATCTCTTGCAGGTCATCAGTCACACAGGAGATCATATAGCATGAGAAATTCAATTGATTAAAGATAATATGTATAACTGTGGGAGGTGAGATTATCAAATCTTGGTAAATTGCATTGCACAATAATATGCAGTTACCCAGTGAAGAAATAAATAAATAAATAGAAAATCCAAAACAAAACAAACAAAAAAGGAATTTAACAAAATTTAACTTCGGAGGTAATCTCTGTGGAAAGCACACTGACCTTTTTTACATTTTTATTTACATCAACCAAGTTGAGCTGGAAGATGTGGTCCTTTGTCCCAACCAGCAGCCGGCCCCTCTCCTCATCTAGCAGCAGGGTTCGAAAATCAAGCCCCTCTGTTGAGCCCAGGAATGGGATGCAGCTGTTTGAAAGCAGCAAGTCTGTGGGAAAATGAAGAAAATCTTTATAATCCAAATGTTTATATATGACTCATCAGTGTCTTTTATAAATACATGCAACCAGCATGGAGTATACCAGCAAGATAAGTGCAGTCTTGGAGCATGTCTTTCCAGAGTCATAATACAGTTCCCATTAACTTTGGGGTTCTCTGGAATTTTTTTTTTACTTCCAAATTTGGTAATATTTACATTCACAAAATATTTTTCTATGTAAAATTTTCTTAATAAACTATCTGTATGGCATAGAAGAATTAGAAATTCAACCTAAATTAGAAACCACGAAAGACAGATCTTTGTATAATGTGTGCTATAGCTTTCATTCTAAGAAAACTAATTAGGTTTATATTATCATACTCATGGATACACATACTCAAGGATCAATATGTCACCATATTTGGTGCTCCAAATATAAAGCAGCAAAGAAGGTCAATGCCAGCCAAGAATAATTAGCAGCAGGAAATAGTGGGTAGGCACATTTGAAGATCATCCGCTCAACCCCCTCAGTATGAGGAGGAACATCTTTCACTAGATCAGCTTGGTCAAAGCCCCACCTAACATGGCCATGAACACTTCCAGGGATGGGGCATCCACAACTTCTCTGGGCAACCTGCACCAGTTTCTCACCACTCTCATAATAGAAAATGTCTTTCTTATATCCAGTTTCTATCTACTCTCTTTCAGTTTAAAATTATTGCCCCTTGTCCTGTCACTAAAGGCTTTGGTAAAAAGTCCTCACTCATCTTTTTTACAAGCCCCCTTTATAAACTGAAAAGCTACAATAAGGTCTCCTCAGACCCATCTTGCCTCCTGGTGGAACAACCCCAAACCTCTCAGCCTGTCCGTATATGGAAGGTGTTACAGCCCTCTGACCATTACCAGGGCTCTTCTCAAAATTCATTCCAAGGTTCTTGTATTTCTTGAACTGGCTGACCCAGAACTGAATGTAGGAGTGCAGGTGGGATCTCACCAGAGCAGACTGCAGAGGCAGAATCCACCCCCTCTACCTGCTGAACACACTTCTTGTGGTACAGCCCAGGGTACAGCTGGCTTTGCAGGCTGTGAGCACACACTGCTGGCTCAAATCCATTTTTTATTCATTTACCAGTATCCCCAAGTCCTTCTCTTCAGGGCTGCACTCAACTTATTCATCACACAATCTATCCATCATTTAGTCTGTGTTGATATCAAGGATTGCCCTGACCCAAGTGTAGGATCTTGGACTTGGTCTTGTGGAACTTCACATTGCTTACAGAGGCCTCCGTCTCCAGCCAATCAAGGGATCTTCAATGATAATTTATTCCAATTCAGTGAGGATGGTGTAGTAAGGGGAATATCCAGTAAGGGTAAAATCTAGCAACACCTCTAAGATCCCTATTAAAATAAAAAATTTGACACTAAAGTTTTACTGTGAATTAACAGTGGCTTCAAATCTCTTTAAAAACGTAATTAGGAAAAAGAAATGCTCTATGAAACTAATGAAAGAATCTATAAAGCTGCATAAAAGCTAAAGGGCTGTAAAATAAAAATTCTGTAACATTCTGCCTAATAAATACTCTGTGGACGTAATTCTGGATGAGGACACAAACAACATATAGAAAAGAGCACAAGCATAGTTAGGTCTTGTTGGGTAGTTATTACTTTGGGGAAAAGAAAATAAACATGTGAATCAGTTCTTCCACAAGCAAACTCTCCAAGCTAAATTATTTGGAAATCATCAGACAGAAAGGCAAATCCTGTATTTAACTGAACATAAAATTAAGGATATTTCCACCTTCCTGGCATTGGATGGACGATGTAGCATTCCTGCTAGAAAAGCCAGACTTACTGCGAAAGTCACTTGCACATCCTGATCATGATGACAATTAGGGTCAGTGTTTTGGAGAAAAAGTCCTGAATGAAATAAAGGGAAAAAAAAACCCCACCCAAACATTCTTCTCAAAGGTCTCTCACAAACCATGTCACAGGGAAAAAAGTTCTGGTGCTAAAACAGCACTCTGGGAGGAAAAATATTTTATCACTACTAATCTGACTAACTGGAATATAATTATGACAGTTATTTTTTGGCTCAGTCACTTCTACTTAAATTTGTGTGCATTTGTCTGGCTCAGTGCAGGGTGTTGTTAAGGTACAATCTGAAAACAAATGGTCGTGTATTGCAACTCCTATTCCCCTAGGTGAGATTTATCTGGCAGTTCTTAAGAAAAAAAAGCCTGCTTCACACTGAAAAATTATATCCAACGCTGGGCACTACACCACTCTACATCAGCACTGTCCCTTCTCTCATATCTTCTGTGAAGACTGATCATTGCTTACTTAAAAAATCTCCAGCAGCAGAGCCACAGCAAAAAAGCTTCCAAAGGAAAAACGCCATTCTGTTCTGATAATAAGTATTTGCATTTATAAAACATATTTAGACTGCTTAGCATGAAGTCACATGTGTGGTGACCATGCTACCATTCCTCAACTTCAGCACCGTGTAAGAATGCAGCAATGTAGAACCAACTTGGCTGAGACACAGAATTTCCTTTGTGACCAGTTACAGACTTTTTTAATGACAAGCCACCCCAAAATTAGCAGAAAGGGAACATCTCAACGTCTTTCAAAACAGTTACATCTAATGACACCTTTGAAGGCCTCTGAAATTTAACGTCATATAATTTTCATATACAGCACAAAAGAGTGGTCGCCTCACTTTCCTTTAGGCAGGAACAAGCCCTTTCTCATGTTGGAGAGTACACATGAAGATTTACATGGGCATTGTAGAAATTCTCAACCAAACTTTTGAGATAAACTATTTCTAGCATAACTGCAGCAATTTATCCGATTCCTAAGGTATTCTAAAATTGACCAGTTGACCCCAGATGTATTGGTACCAAGACAAAGACAATAAATACTTCCAAACTACTATGAATGTTACCATGTACTGCAAGAAGTAAATTATATTTTGTTTAGCTGCATCTCACCATGGGCAAAGCTGTGCATGCAAAGTGGGCCTCATTGCTATACAATATTACACAGGCCTGGTGGAAAAGGTTGTATTTGCAGATCAGCAGGGCCGTTCCAAAAGGACACAGATAACCAGGAATAGAGAAAACATGACTTTCTGCTATCACAATTTTGTATCAAAACCTTGGTTATGAGAAGAGAAAAAAAGAAGTATTAAAGAGCATCTCCACCATCAGGCTCTTCTTACCTTTGGTAAGCTGGAATTGGCAAGACCGGCTGCAGGGCTGAAACGGAGTCCCCTTGGCACACCCCAAAGAGCATCCCCATCCATCAGGCTCTTCTTGCCTTTGCTTAGCTGGAATTGGCAGGACCGGCTGCAGGCTGAAACACCAAGTGCCATGAGTATGACTGAGGCACATGGAGCCACGAGCATCTCACCAGCTGGTGGAACTTGTGGGAGGTCCTCTCCATGTCCAGGTAGGAGCTGGTGCAGAGTGTTTCCAGGAGGCTGCGCTTCTGCTTCCACCACAGCTCTTCCTGTGAGTGGTGCAGGAAGCACAACAGCTTCTCGCCCAGCTGCTCCCTCCCAAATGTGCACACCAGCTCCACGCGGACGCTGAAGGTCCTTGCTGCCATCTGCCCTGCATTGTTCAGCTCTAGGTGGAAGGCATGCCCTGGTGGGGGATTCAGCGGGACCAGCACACGTTACACCCCATCCCACTCGTGGGGACTCCAACCCTCAAAGGCACTGCCCACTCCAATGGCTTCTTGAGGCACTGGGTAGAAACTATTGCTCACCCTGTCCACAAAGACACGCCTGAAGATCTCCATCAGCTCAGCTGTCACTGAGCAACCTCTCTCCAGGTCCTCCATAGGCCACTCTATGCGATCCAAAAAAAGGATGGCTCCCTCATTCCCAGCATCTCGGGTGTCTTCTCCGTTTTCAGTTCCACCACTGCCGCTTTCTTCCTTGTCACCATCACTGTCTTCTTTTTCACGGGCAGCCACATTACCTTGCTCATCTTCTTTTCTATCCTCCTTCTTGTTTTCCTCCACATTCACATCACCTTGTTCTTCAACCTTGCTTCTATCATTACCATCTTCTTCTATAACTTCCTTATTTTCTTCCTCATTTTCACCAAAGGCACTAAGGGCTACTTCATTCCCATGTTCACCACTATCTTCCTGCCCAGTGCAATCCCTGCTTCTCTGTTCACTGGCATCACTGCTTTCCTGCACCTTCACATCCGTGTATTCTTCCCGTCCATTTATGTTGTACTCACCTTCATTTACATCCTCATTGTTGCCTGCCTTCATATTTGCGCCACTGGTGTTTTCTTCATTTCCATCTTCTTCTTCCTTTCCAGCGTCCTTGTCTTGCTCCACCTGTACATCCTTGTTTTCTCCTTCACCTACTTCATCCAGGTCTTCTGCATTTTCAGCAATGTTGCCAGGTTCTCCTTCAGTTCCTTCAACAGTAGTATCTCCTGGCACATTCCCATCATTCCATCCTTCATCTTTCTTTAAGTCATGGCCGTTGTCATAAGTATTTATACTTATTACTTTTGGGGCAGGATGTCACATAAGCTAATGCCCTGTTACAGATTTAGTGATAAATCTTTCTGAAAGAAATCCAGGTTGCTTGGATGATGCAGCGGAAGATTTAATACCATCCTAAAAAGACCAAAAAGTTTAATTACAAAATTGTGGTGCCTTCAATAACCTCATCGCTCTCAAACTCTATGGTTCAACACCTTGCAAAATTCTGGTAGAGCCAGGATTTTGTTGAGAAAGTAGAATGTCTGGTTTTTGAAATTTGTGCAAAGATGTACCTCTGTCACTCCCACCATCTTCTAAATTGTCTCCCTCAAACAGAGTCAGCCAATCTCTGACTGATAAAGGAACTTCTGCCTCTTTCTGATATCTCTTTGTGTATTTATCTCCAAAGGACTGTGAGCACAGGAGAGATTATACTCCTCAACCATTCTTTGGGGAACTCATCTATAAATAGAACTGCAGAAATGGGGAGGGTGGAAAGGGAAACAGGATGTGACTTGAGTACCTGCATAGTGACCACAGATGTCCACTGCTAGACAGACACTGGTGTCAGGCAGATCATGCCCTCTCATTAGTGCTCAGAAGGAGAACAATGTTGGCATTTCTGAAACTGCTCTGAATTGGATCTGCTTAACAGATGTCATTAGTAAAATCAGTCAAAGAGTTTTGAACTATCTTCCAAGCTGATGCCACTTATCACGTATCTTCTCTCGTTCTTCTAAGTAGACTGGTTTTGATGTTATCCCATCCTTCTTTCCACAAGGAAGCAAAAATTCTTCACTCTTTCAGTTTTGTTTCCTCTCATTTTCCAATATTTAATAAAGTGAACACTCAGCAGAACTTCAAAAGAATTCCTGGCACCAAAATGCTCTCTGTTTGCTTTTTCACCATGTTCAAGAATGGATCACTCTTAGGGGGAAGAAAGTCCTGTGTGCAAACCACTGCATGAAACTAAACAATCCTTAAACGTGGCTAATTTCCATGTGGAGCTGATGATTTAGCACTGGCATCCTTCAGCAAAAGAGAAAGATCTGCCTGTCTTTAGTTTACTTATGCAAGATGAAAAAGGTGAAGAGTGTGATTGTCATCTTGCTTCAATTGACTTCAGTGGCCAAACACTTGCCATGACTTCAGTGGGAGTGAGAGTGCATCTTAATTCCTTCAATGTGGAGAAAACCAAATCAGCTGAGAATAATGCTCTTGTGTATTAGATTTAAATTGCTACCATAGTTGTTTTTAACAGTGCTAAGCAAATCCTGTTTTAAAAGCCACAGGTTACCTTCAGTCATGCTTATTCCTATGTATTGTGTCACAATGTAGGGTTCCGGGTCCTCTGACCAAGTCACAAGTGTTCACAGCAAGCAAGGCTTGCTCTGGGGCATGGCCACATTCCCACATGGGAATGATGTATGTTTGTGGATGTCACTGGTGACAACATCCAAATCTGGGCTGAGGCATCCTCCTCAGCCAATAAACGAGGGTGCACACTTTCGTAAAATAAATGCATTCACCAAGAACAAAGGCTATACTAACTAAGATGCCCATGAAAAGCAGCAAAGTAAATCAAATCAACAGGGTTACATTTGCAATTAGGAATCTGCATTTCTGCAGGGAAATGTTAGGATAGCTACAAATTTTAAAACATTCAATTTTTGTTTTCTTTTCCTTAGAAGGCAATCAACCTTCTGGTTTGGCTGTTCTCTACTCTTCCTTATAAAGTAGAACTTAGAGAAATGCTCAGAAAATATGTATGCAAGTACCTCTCAATTAATTAGAAAATATTATTACTCAGAAGATAGACAGAAACAAGACTATCTACACTGTATGAATTAAACATGTATGAATTAGGACACAGACCCCTCCATTCTTTAGTAAGGGATGCTGTCCTGCAAATTACATTAATGAATGAGTCTGATAGATGAAAACCTTCTGCATCTGCTCTAGCGGTTGGAATGAGGATGTTAAAAGAGGAAGACAAGGAGGATACTGAACATCACTTCTGTGCTTGAGGAGTTCTGCAGTTTGGATGAAAGTCACAGGTTATCTCCAGCTGCATAAAAATGAGTGATAAATATCCAGTGTTTCTCTTAGATTGAAAGCAGTGTTAAACAAAGAGTATTAAAATAAGGAATATTACTCAGAAGTTATCCCCTGGTTTTCTAAATACAGCAATCTTCTATTAGAAGACAGTTTTTTACCTCCTCCATATATTAAAGCTGTAACATAATAATAAAAGCAGCTCAAACTTGTAGAAGTATCTAAGATACATAGATTAAATAAGATCTATGCAGTGACAGCACCCTAAAAACATCACAAGAGCAGTGACAATTTCTGAGATAGTAATGACATGAACCAATATTTAAAAGTTAAGTCTAAGTGAAAAAGATAATTTTTCAACTAATGGAAAATGTGGGAATAAAGGATATGTGATTAAAGATCATAGTGTATTAACAAAGGTGGAGAATGCCTTACTTTGATTCTGTATTACAACATATTTCAATTGCATTGTGTGTAGTTTTAGTTTTATACGTGCATGATTTTTTAAAACACGTTTTTAGACTGGGGCACACAATAAAGCAAATCCATCGTGTGACATTGCATTGATCCCCACATCACTCACTGGAATATCTTAGCATTTCCAGCACAGATTCCCACTTAAGATGAAAACCCAGAGAAGATGAAAACCTGTAACTGCCATTAAGAGAAAGTCTAAGACTTTAATTGCTGTCTGAACACAAAGGAGATGGACATGCTGTGGTTTCTTGAAGCACTCCTGCAGTTACAGACGCATCTTTAACTAGCCCACCCTGTCCCTCTTCCCCATCCACCACTGACTGATGCAGCTGGGAGATTCAGTAACTGCGGAGCAAAACCTTGCTTACTTTCAGCCCCCCTGCCCCAGCAAATGCTCAGCTCTTCTGGGAAGATGGAAGATGGGCCTATGCCATAAACACACTGCGCCTTGAAGGGAATGAAACCTTCCCTTCAAAGACACGCATGTGACAAGGTTTTTGGAACTTCTGGTGTTGCCATTTTTCGTCTGTTTTCCACAAAGAAGGGAAAGAACTCCGTATCCTCCTCCTCATGATATTTCAAGTCCTAATTCCAAAGAACAGAGATGCCAGGACTTGTCAGTGACATGACTAACAATTTTAGGAGAACTGGCAAGACAGTTCATTTCTCCTACATCTTACTCACAGAAACCATGGAATTATTTTGTCTGAAACACTTGGGGGAAGGAAGGTAGATTTAATTCTGACAAGTTTATTAAATATTCAGTCCATCTGACATCCTGTTATCAACAACAAAAATATGGTTTAATTATGATAAGCCATACTGGTATAATTTACAATACCAAAGTGTGAAAAAACAGCAGTGAGTATTTTCTTGTTCCATGTGGAAAAATACACACCTTCCACCCTCCCAAAAAAATAAGACAAGACACAATAAATTCTCATAACTCTCTTTCTTCTGGCTTTTCAGTTCCATCACAGCTCTCCAAATTAAGATTTATGTGCTATTTTGCATCTGTATCTGTTGTTGATTTTCCCCCCCTTCAGGGATATAGGTGGATAAGTTTGGACAGGAAACAATATCCCTCAAGCCAAACTGAAAGGTTTATAAAGTTGCTAATAAAAGTTTGGGTCAGGGCCTAAATATCAATCATCTGCTCATTGTCTTTTCAAACGAGCTCAGGCATTTTCCCAACAGCTCCCAGCAGGTCTCTGCCACTATTTTAAACTAAGATTTCAGCCATTTCTTTTTTTCCTGTGCTGACCTCAATAATTTTTCTTTCTCCCCCTCTTTACCTGCCAAATGCATCCATCAAGATTTTGCCAAAGGCTATCTGCTTTTGAAGTTGAGAGGAATTCACTAATCGTGAGTGTCAAATCCACAATAAATGCCATTGCCATATGGTATATGCTGCTTTTGGGAATTATCTCAAAAGGCCTAGCTGTGAGAAGGCTGCCTGTATGTTAGGAGGGTTTTACTGCTAACTTTCGTAACTCATGTCATGTCTTTCAGTTTCTGTATTCATTGGCTTCAATGAGTGCAACTGTTTCCTGAATTTATAAAAATGTTGTCAAGATCCCTTGATCTTGCTTCCTCCGTCTCTCTCACACAAACACATCCAAACACATCTACACACAGTGGAATAGCATGCACAGTGGCATGCAAATCTAGCAAAAGAGAAGCTTGTAAATAAATAGCATGTCATTCTGCTTACTCAATAAATTCCTCTGGGTGTTAAACTCATGATAAACATATCATAAGCCCTGATGAAGGCTTTAGTGCCTGCCCCATCACACCATCCTGAGCGCAATTCTGCAACGCACAGGAAGACATAAGTTTGAAAAACAGAGCAGAAATAGCTCCCATAAGGGCAGGGTGCTGACATAGCTGAAACATAACTAACTGGAGAGCATTTGTTTTTGCTAAAGAAGACAGCATCAGTGACACATCTCTGTGCCTATGGAGGTGTACTCTGCATTCAAAGCAACAAGAGATCTACCTTCTTTTAGAAATTGTCCACTAATACATAAATATGCCTGTGTTGAAACCCGTCAGACAGTATCATTCTCAACATGAACTACACACAAGACTAATAAATTCCATAGAGAAACATGCTTTTGTGATCCAAAGAGGCAAGGAGAAAGAAAACCACACATGAAGAGTTTAACATACCAACATAGTGATAGAAAAATAATTTCAAAAATAAATGTCAGCCCCCTTGAAACACTTGAGGCAGCTCCCTCGACTTTCTCTGATGCTCCAGGAAGGTGTGAATGTCCTCCATGTCTCACATATCCCCACAAACCACATGGAAATGTCTCCAATGAACCTCAGAGTGTTTCAAGTACCACTCCCCTCTAATTTATGTAGTCTGTTAATATCCTCTTGGAGCAAACAGAAATAATAGTTTAAAAAGACAATTATATTTCAGAAACATGTGCCTCTACA